CGTAAGAGCGAGCAGCATACTTTATGTTTAACCGTACCGTCAGTAATTAAGAAAACCAGCAGAACGCAAATAACAAGCTATTACTATGGCAACAGTGACATCCTTTTTCTTTGGTTAATTACTCCAATTAAAGCACAAACTATTCCAGTTTAACATATTTTATTAGCTGATAAACAAGACATTCATACTTGAGTCAGCAAACCACAAACCTTTTATATTGTTTCACTCACTTTCTTATTTCTGTTCCTTTGACTCAATTTTGAAAGCCGAATGTGAAGTACTTAAGCCCGATGCCGTGGCTTATCACAACCTGATTGCTCTCTGTCCGAATAAAGCACAAGTAAACCGACCTGGCGATCTATTTACCGTCCTGGTGGCGAGTCACAACGCACTGATTAAGGAGCATGCCAATCTGAAAACGATATACTTTGATCTTTGTCGACAACAAATGCATTATGTGAAACACGATACAAGGAATCAAAGCTCTGTGATTCGTGAAGAGTCTTCCTCAGAAGAAGATGATCCTATAGATACCAACGTCTTTATCGATGATGATTACAACTCGAATACTACCCAAGCTTATGAAAATAAGCGATATACTTCGAAGGAGAAAACAGGTACTTTAGATAAAAATACTTCCTTTCCTAAAACGGCTACTAAATACCGGCCAAATCATGACGAAAGTTACCAAAACTCCAGGGAGAATTTCGAATATGGATTTTCCGACTTAAACCATATCAGAATCCACTCTTCTAATGTAGAGAGATCACCTCCTTCTGGCGCATCCTTGGAAATGCTAGATCGATCTGATACGGCAAAAGCAACAAGCCGACAACAATACCCCATTAACCGGCCGCAGTATCGTCAGAGTCAATCCTTTAAAGAGGCAGCCTGCCTTCCACAGGATACTAACCAGCGTCCTCAGGAAGTTCTGAGCAGGATGGCAACTTCTGAGCCCCTTGACGATACTAATTCCCTCCAGACAGCAATGGAAAGCAATTTT